CCCACCCCGCCACCCTCCTCCCCCTGGCACGGACACGTCCAGGTTGGCTGCAGGTGGAAATGGGGCAGGAGATGGAGCACTGGCCAGTGGCACCCCACGCCGTGGGGCAGAGCTGGGGGGGGAATTGGGGGGCTAGGGGACCCCGCTGGCGAGGGCTGCGCGGCTGCGTCATCCCTCCGTGCCATCCGCACCCGGCCACCCACTTCCCCGCTATTGTCTTACACCCGCTGTTGCTTCTGCTCCCAAATTAGACACCTTTTTTTTTGGGGGGGGGTTGGGGGGGGAAGAGAACTGCTTGCGTGCGGGTGCCAGTGCAGCGCCCAGCCTCCCCCCCTCCAGCCCCCCAGGGAGGGAGCACTCACCCCCTTTTTGCCCACCCTCTTGCTGGGGTGCCCCCTGCCACGGCGGGGGGGCTCTCACCTGTGGGGCGCAGGGGCTGGCCCCGATGTGGGGCTGGATGCCGGCCACCCTTGTGGGGTACCCTGGGTACCACTGAGCCCCCCAAAGCCAGCCTGGGGCGGGGGGAGGGTGCCCAGAGCTCAGCCCCGGCAGGATGAGTCCCCGCTAAACCGAGGGGAACTAATTTTATGAGCGCAGATGAGCTGAGCGCTTGCGGAGACAGCAATAAAATCCCGATATATCATCCCGCCCGGGTCCCCTTCCCGGCTAATCCTGGCATCACGCCGCTGGCACCGGCAGCCTTCCCGCAGGCCAGCCCTGCCCCTGCCGGCCCGTGACACCGAGCCCACCGCTGCACCGGCGGCTGCCAGGAGCACCCCTGGGACCCCCGGGCCAGGCAGGGTGGCACGGCAGAGCCAGCGTCGCGTGGGCACGGGGACCACCGAGGTGCCAGGCAGGGCAGGGTCGCTGGTGAGGCTGTTGGGATGAGCTGGGTGTGGGCTAGAAAGCGTCACCCTGGCCTGCAGCGTGGAGAAGGGTGCCCCAGGGATGCTCTGCTCTTTCGGGAGTGGGTGCACCCGCAGCGGGACAGGGATGGGTGCTCTTGCCTGGAATGGGCTTTCCCAGCAGGAGGGTGCCCAGCTGCCGTGTGAGGTGGGAGCACCCATCCTGCAGGCACGGAGGCAGGTCGGCTCCGAGGGATGGGAAGAAGCGTCCCCCCCAAGTTCCTTGGCTCCCCGCACCCACGTCCCCACCCCGATTTGGGGTCAATCACCCCAGGGAGCCCTTAGGTGCATGCCCTGGGCGCTGAGGGCAGGACCACCTTCCTCCCAGGGCCCGTGCAGTGGAGCCGGGGCCGTGCGCCCGCAGGTGGGTCGGGTGCTGCCCGTCCCTGCCCCCTCCGAAGGATGTGCCGCTTTCTGCATCTCCAGCTCCCATTGCCATAGCAACAGGCTCGGCGCTTGGGTACCCGCCATGCCGGCTCCCGCATCCCGCGCTGCCATCCTGCCCGTGGCCCCCGGCCGCCCGGCCCCGGGTGCCGCCGGCACGGCATGGCGAGGCCGGCACGTCGCATGGCACGGTGTTTTGGGAGCTTTAGCGCCCGGCGATGGGTGCCTCCAGTGTCGTGCCACCATCCCGTCCCGGGGTCCTGCTCAGACCCCTCCACGAGGGCTGGGGTGGCCCAGGGAGCTCTGTCTCCTTCGGAAAATAACATCAGCTGAAACTTCCTCCCGGTAACAGGGTGGGAATGAGGGGGGGGGGAAATCACTTTATGGGACCAGTTTTTTGCTGGGAAGCTTCTGGGGAGAGTCTGGATTTGAAGGATCCCTGGCAGGGAAGCCAGGAGCAAAATATCCTTCCTTAAAAACATCCATGCCAGGGCTGGTGTCCTGCCCGCTGCCGGTGGCAGGATGGCTGGCAGTGCCCAGTCGTGGTGCCCGCCTGCCCGGTGCTGCAGTGGGGCTGCCGGGGCCGGTAGGAGACTGGGAGCTGAGGCTGGTGTAACTCGCTGCACATGTGATGGTGCGCAACGATGTTCCGCCTGGGGAAGCTCCGGCTGCAGAAATGTCACCGGGGCAAAACTGGGCTGAGAAACGGGAAAGGGTCCGTTCGCCTCCGCTTGCCTCCCCAGTGGGTGCTCTGCGCTAGCCCTGGCTATTTAATAAATAATTAATAATCTGCAAAAGAAGGCCAGAGGGGCTGGCTTGCAGCCGCACTGGTGGCCCAAGCCCAGGCAGAGCGACAGGAGGCCACGGGGATGGACACGCATCGGTGGGGCTGGGCTTGCGGCAGCCGGGGAGCACGAGGAGCCACTGCGCTTCGTCAGGTTTTACGTTAATTAGCACAGCTTGGAGGAGGGGGGAACGACACTGATGCAGATCCAGGGGGGCTGGAGGTACCGGGGCGCTCACCCCCTCTCCCTGCCCTGCCAGCACCGGGCCCTGCGATGCCGTTTGGCTGCGTGACGCTGGGAGACAAGAAAGATTATAACCAGCCGTCCGAGGTGACCGACAAATATGACCTGGGCCAGGTCATCAAAACGTGAGTTGGTCCCTCCCTGGTCCCGGGGGTGCCCTGGGGACCCCGAACCCCCGCAGTGCCCTGGGCTGAGGAGCAGCCCGATGCTGCTCATGAGGGGTTTCAGGGTGCCCAGCCCCAACTAGGAC